TTATAACTCTCACTTAGTTCTAATTAGTAGGTGAACATTCTGAAGGTCACTTTAGCGTCACTCAAAGGTCATTCATGAATTATCGACTCACCATGAATTGTTATTAATTTGTGTTAGATATTATTTTAAAACTGTTTGTTTTGTAATGCAATGAATCACTGAAACTTTAACTGTCTGAACCTTTTACATTGGGATGACTCGTCAAGTTTAAATGTTTACAAGATCTGACCATGAATAATAATTCATTTATGTAATTGAGGTTAGTTTACTGATCCGGAACATATTTGTTGACATAATTAAATTCAGTCAGCTCGTGACATATTTTATGTCATTGTTTAATGACTTAATTAATATGTAATTTACTTTCAACATTTTTGTTTTGAATTGTTTTGATTATCTCTCTTTACAAGAAATACAACTTGAAAGTAGTCATACAATTACTATCAACAAGGAATTGACGCAAAATCATTAACTTGATCTACAAATCTTCTACACCATCACAGAATAATGTGTTCAGAATTAATTTACAATATTAAAGGAATAAATTATTAACCAGATTTTCATTAATTCTTTAAATGATATCAATTCAGGATGATAAATAACTTAAATTTAGAACGTCTCAACAGACCTAATATCCTAATAATTTCAATTAATGTATTGAAATATTACCTCAAATGTAGTATTTCATCATTTGATGTACCCCTTAACCATTATACTCGAACATTGATAACTTGTCAGTTAACACTGTCTTTTGGAGAGTTTTAACTAAGATTATAAATGTATAATCATACTATTTTGACTGAAATTCCTCAGGACTATTAATATATATAATAGTTGAATTTATGAGTCACTTCAAGCTAGACCACCTTGGAAATCCTGGAAACATTGGGTGGCCGTTTAGTCTTAGTATGGAACTCCTCGGCGGTGAGCATCCACAATCCCGCTCTCCATGAGATTCGAACCGTGAACATATTAGTCTCGCGCGCGAGCGTTTAACCATTAGACCAATGAGCCGGCCGGTATTCATCGATGTTGATATCTAACTACAACCAATCCACAAAACTGCGCCACCATTGTCTTCAGTGAGCTGATATCTCACAACAGACCAGGTTGAACTTCACTGGTCACGGCTTCTGACTAAAACTCCAGGAAATGCCTCTTGAAGTCAGTCATGAAGAGGGCGGGATTATGGATGCGCACTGCTGAACAGTCCCATACAAGGACAAAACAGCCGTTCAGTGCTTCCAGATTTTCCATGGTTGTCTAGCTTCAATTGACTCATGATTTCAAATATTGAAGTTACTAAAATCTCCACAAAACCTCTTCTGATAAAAAAAATTTGTCGAATTCGTTAAAATTTTTATAAAAAAACGTAATTTTCCCATGAAAAATATAACAAACATTTTGTTTTTGATTACAGAGTCACAATCTAATTTTTTTTTTATTTTCAATCGAAGGATTTAAAAACGAGAAAAATATATCCATCTATGCTTAGATATTGAATTTGTATAATTTAACACTGTGTAATTGAAAAGGAATAATTATGTTAAACATCATCTTGTCTACATAATCACTGGAACAAGTTTCGAAGTTGCGAAGAAAAAAACTACACATTCTAGAAACAGTTTGTGTTTATCTTTTTTATAGTTTGAAACAACTAAGAAAAATAATTTGAATATGGTAAGAATGTTATAAATCATTTTTAAACTTAATTGAGATCCAGAACTGATAAATATTAGAACACCAGTGAAAATATTGGAGTGTTGGATGAATGTTTCGTTTTAGTATTGGACTCAATTCAACAGTCTCCATAGGTCTCTATTAATCAGTTTGGGGATTTGTGGATTTGTGCACAAGACCAAAGGTTTAGAGTTTGAGTCTTTAGTGCGAGGTTGTGAATGCGCACTGCTGAGATGTCCTATACTAAAATGAAACAACCGTCCAGTGCTCCAAAGTTTTTAATTTTGGTTTAACATCAGTCGGTTTATGATCTTAATTAAAACTCAACAATCTGCACAACCATATACTGGTAACTACCACGAGCTCACTAGTGACTAGCTTCGAGAGGTAGTTCTCAGAGTTTTAGTGAGAAGCCGTGACCAATGGATTTCTACTGTGTTGGATGTGAGACAGCTACCCATCGGCAACAATGTAAGATGGCCACTCAATACCATGAATTGGTTGAAGTTAGACATCAACACTGTTGGATGATAGCTAAGTGATCTGGAGGTTAAGTGTTTGCGTGAGAGATTATGAATATGCACTGCCCGACCTTCTAGTGCTTTCAGTTATTTAATAGTGGTCTAACATCGATTAGTTTATGATCTTAATGAAAACTCTTTTATCAGAATGGGTTTTGTGTAGATTCTCAGAAATTTCACAGGTTGAAATCATGAGTCAATTGAAGCTAGACAACCATGGAAAACGGACGTTTCGTCCTAGTATGGGACTCCTCAGCAGTGCGCGTCCACGATTCCGCATTCCGATGGGTTCGAACTCAAGAGTTACTAGTTTCGCGTGCGAGCACTTAACCAATAGACCACTGAGCCGGCATCCAACGGTGTTAATGTCTAACTTCCAGGTATCCATGGTGGTCTAGCTTCAATCGACTCATGATTTCGACCTGGAAAACTCTTTTATCATTTTATATTTTTATCTTATCAACTCGTATTTAATTAACTCGTCTAGTTGACAGATATTTCTTTCAAATAAGTAAAAGTTTCATAGATATTTAGTGATAATTTTGAGAATTTTTGAGAATTGTTAAAAACAATATTGACATCTGCTACAACTATACTTGACCTTATTCGATTGTAATGATAAAAGCTTAAACTTTCCTTTGAATAGCCTATAAAGTAATTCATTTACTTACATCACCAATAATTTTAATATAAAGTTATATCCGTTGATATTTATTTCCTATTCTGTTTACTGTAGAAGTATCCACAATGAGTTTCCTCTCTAATAATATTTATTATATGTATAAAAATGAATTTTTTTGTAGCAGTGAATTCATATTGGGTTATGTTAAAGTATTCTGAAGTTAACTGAGATGAGAAACTCAAGATTGTTATATTCGAACGTTAAGTAAATGAACAGTAACTGCTAGGATTTGTATATGAACTATCGTAGTGATCAAGAACAACAGTGGGGATAATCGAATGTATTTAACACAAAATTACAGGACTTGTTAATTAAATCTAACAATCATAAAGTAAATGCTTAATTTGCAAACTGTCCATCGATTGTCTCGAAATGGCTCAGACTTCATTGTTCTTGCATTTTCATACAAATTGCATCCTGTTTCGATTCTTTACTGTTCGACCCTCTTGTGTCTCTGCTGCCTGACCTTTTGTTCACGACTAATATCATATACTACTTATGTCAGTATAAGTAGCACACACCACACTAGTATTACATATATTCTTATTGTAAAAACTATGAAGTAACTAGATTATATATATTTATATATTTTTATTACAAGCTTCCATTTAACTTATTGTCTACTATTATACGATTTATTATTCTAAAGTCATTCCCAGTTTCTCACATCCAAAGCCACTTTTGACCTGATCTCGTATAATTGTTATTTTCTATTTTATGAAAGGATGCGGTCTGATTTCTCTTTATATAAACTGCGTAAATCTGGAAAACATGATTTATACAGTGGAAGCTGATATTGTGTTCTGAGCACAAACAGGTAGGGTTAGGTGAGGAGAATCAATAAGGACTTAGAATCGACTCTAAGCTGCTCGTCCTGGTTAACAATTAATCGATTTGGCACAGGTCCAAGGTCGTATAAGTCAGTGTTATAATTAATAATGTGTCAAATGATAACCGACAGGGTCATTGGGACAACTTTTGAGGTTATTTATCATTAGTAGATATAGATGGTGGCTAGCATTAAAATCTGGGATGCGTGATTTGTCCTATTTCGGGATTGGTTGACCGTATATGATTGATTTCACCTAAGTCAATTTCGAAGTAATCCACATAGAATGCCGGTGAGAGACTGATCGATTGCAGTTTTAAATATTAATGAGTAGATTCGAACAACCAATACAAAAATGACTTATTTAAAGTTTGATAAAATATCCTTTGAATGCTCTTAGTAAGGCTTAGAAATGTCAATTTCTTTTGAAAATATTTAGTAGTATTTAGGGTCGTAGAGAAAAAAAAATTTGTGCACGATGTCTGAAATTTCTGCCTCGGATTTCTCTTGTCTACTAATTGAAAATATGGCGAGACTATAAGTCGCGGACAACCGTGAACGAAACTTTAGTGACCTTGTGAAATATTAGTCAATTAAAAAAACAGTTAGTATAGAGTAAAGTATTTGACAAAAAAAGAATTAAAGTGCACACAATTCTTTTACGTGGTTAAAAAACTTGTCATGGTTATGAAGAGATTCAGGGGTTCTAAAATCGTACTACATACGGTTGAGGAAATCATCCATGTGGCATCATAATAGTCGGCCTCTGGAGCTATGATAAGGTTGTAAAGACTCTTTCAGCCTCTAACACATAGCTTTAATATTGTTTAGTTGTTGGGTACACACGATGCACATAATCAAGTTTATATAGACATCTGTACGCTCGCCAATCATCTGTATGTATTGTAGTACCCGGTTGTGATCAGTGTTACTGGTGCTTTTATTATCCAGTTCACAACAATTATTACAATATGCCTTTGTCTCACTCTTATTCTAGCAGGCTTCTTCCTCCAACACATATTACATCGAAAGTCAACATCATTACGGTAGCCTGCACAATATCCACAAGTCATTTGATTATCACAATCACAAATATAAAGGAACGTCTTAATAATCCCATTTGTTGTAGCTAGTCAATTATCACCTGTTCTCTAAAAATCCATCATGAACCAATCATACATAAGCATCAGGTACTGAAATTGACGCCATGACCTAATTATAATCTCACCCTTTTGATCAACATCAAACTATACCGATGAGTTTTCTTTTTTTTTAGACCTTTCAAAATATTTATTGAAATTTAATAATATTTACAAATTATTAATATATAGAATGGAATGTAAATAAATCATAATAGAAATTACATAATTATCTGTGAAATGAATAGATAGATTATCTGTTACTAGGCTTATTATAAAAAATAGTTTAAAAGGATCATGAATAAACATATTTTTATAAACAACCATTTAATGTTGTATAAATAAGTAATATTATTAATGATGGATTGATGTAATTTAGAATTAGAACCAGTATTACTATACATATAATTGATCTCATTTGATCTTAGTCCATTTAAATGAATTGAAGCTTTTGATATATCTATAATAGAGAATAAGAATAGAATATAAAACATTAAATAAATGATATTACAAAACTAAATCCATTGAATACATGATCAAAATAAACAGGATTGAAAGGGGGGGGGTAACATTTTTTAAAAAATGGACTGATAGATTTAATACGATGAAGGATCAAGTTGTTACACATGATAACATGTAAACAAATTCATTCTATACTATCATTATTCTAGTTAGCGTTTATTTTAGTAAGGTTATTTTCTACAGGATAGAATTGCTGACTTTATGCTTAACTCTCCGACCTTAAGAACAACAATAATCCTAGAAGAGCTATAGGCTGATTAATTTTATGACAGATAGTAAAAATTTATTGTATGTAATGGTTAATAAACTAATTAAAGGTTCAAAGTCACTAAAAACACCTACTTCGGACACAATTCTAATTTCAACTGTTGAGATCATGAGTTAATTGAAGCTAGACCACCATGGAAAACTTGGAAACATTGAACGGCCGTTTCGTCCTATTGTGGGACTCCTCAGCAGTGCGCATCCACGACCTCGCCTCGCGGAACTCGAATCCAGGACCTACTGGTTTCGCGCTTAATCAACTAGGCCACTGGACCAGCATCCAATGTTGTCAATGTCTAACTTCAACCAATCCACGAAATTGACCGACATACACACCACTTTCATCGGTGAGTTACTACCTCACAACTGAACTGGTTGAACTTCACTGGTCACTCCTTCTCACTAGAACTCCAGGATATATCTCTTGAAGCCAGTCACTAGTGAGCATATGTTAATTAGTATCAAAAGGGGTTTTGTGGAGATTGTAGTAATTTCAACAGTTGAGATCATGAGTCAATTGAAATAGACCACCATGGAAAACCCGCGAGGCGATGTTGTGGATGCGCACTGCTGAGGAGTCTCACAATAGGACTAAACGGCCGTCCAGTGCTTCCAGCTTTTCCATGGTGGTCTAGCTTCAATTGACTCATGATCTCCACTGTTGGATTGACTACGATCTCCACAAAACTCCTTCTGATACAATTCTAAATTCTCACTAGTTAAGAACGGTTGCTCTGGAAATAAAAGAGAATTACAGATTGTTTTTATGAAACTATACTTAAAATAGTGTGTTCATTATCAATTCTACCATGAAATTCAATAGACTTATTTATTGACAAACATACCAATAATTTCTACTTCTATTCTTCCAAACATTATTCTTGAAGTGGGTAATAGTGGAGATGTTGAAGACAAAGGCCGATTCTTTGAAACAGACGAAACCGGTAAACGATTATTTTGAATTCTATCCGTTGATAATAAGCTTTTATGTATTGGATTTAAATGAATCATATGTGAAGACTCATGTTCAGTGTTATTTTCACTTGGTTTGTATCGTTCTAAACATATCCATTGTCCAGTATCCGATTCACTTGCCCACTTTATAAATAAACGACTCTCAAGTGTTTTCGGATCTAACCATTTTTGTTCTATGTACACACCACCAGATTTAAATGGATCCGAGGACTTTCGAACACCATGATGATACCATTCTAAAAGTATTTCATAACCGGATGCTCGAACATCAGTTGAAAACTTTGCATAACATTTTAATTCCAACGGGTTGCCATAGTAGACTACACGTGGTCCAGTGACAGTAAGTGCTGAGTAAAACAATATGTATGACAGCACAAAATACATTTTACGTAAATGGTGAATGCGTTTATGGATAGAAATGCTATTAATATAAGTAAATGTACAAATATAATAGATCGTCTATTATTACACCATTATCCTAGGCCAAATGATATTTACTTAGGAATATCATATTTTATGGACTGTATTTCTAAAAAATTTGTACTTTGATAACTATGGTTGCAATACATATGAGTTCAAACGGTACGGGATATTAATAGCATATTTGTATTGAACCGCTTTTGGAGTTTAAATTCAAGCTAATAACAGACATTAACTGTGACCTCATAATTGATTTCTTGTTCGACATTTATCAGCAGCGGAATCCACTATAACAATATTTGATAATTTATTTTCATAAAATTATATCACAAGTCGACATATACATCGTTCTCTTCATTTTTATGTATATTCTAACCAACGTCCATAATTGTAATCATCTAATCTGATAAGAATACACCCTAGATCTCACAGAAATTATATTTGGTATATTGTATCTTTTAAATGCAAAGATAAGGTCAATATTCTGTTTTCACGAAAGCCGAGTAATTCAGTTTTTTAAAAATCGAATGTATACTTAGACGCATGATTACATCCTGTGAGTCAGTAAAGTGTGGTGCTGAAAAACAGAACTGATAAGTAAGGGATTTTTTCCTTACTTCAGTGACTTTCATTTATCTATTAGTAAACTTTTAGTGGCCCTGGATCTAATGCCAGTTGGATCGTACACTGATTGTTATTGAAATACATATGTCGGCTATCCTCGTATGTAATAATCTACTTAATCTGTGTTAGTGAATAACGGAAATACGAGAATACATGTTTGAATATGTATGTTTTGTACACTCGTTGATCGGAACAGATAGTTAGAGGATTGCAGCGAACGCAGAGAAGAAGAGAGAGAGCAAAGCGTAACAAAAGAATGCTCAGTGGAGAAGTTATGTGAGGCAACTTCATATGATTAAGCGTCATTCAATATTTATAGTCACAAAAAGTAAGTTACAGACATGTGATGAATAGGATAAGAAGTGTAAACACATATACGCTCATGTAAAAACAACCAGTGTTTATAAGTGAATAATTAACAAGGTCAAAACGTGACTCAATTAGAATGAATAAATTGTCTTGTCTAGAAGCTAGAATAAGTTATATGCGCTTGATATAGCAACCGACACTGCAAGCTTGAGTATCATTAAACACACAGCCATTTTTTTCTTATCAACGAATCTACTAAATTCCTTATGGCAATATTAATTTATTTAACCATTTTATTTAAATGAAGTTTAATATCATAACATTTTAACTCAGAGTGAACATAAACTCTGAGGTACACGTACATCCAGCTGACAAGTCTTAAATAGGACGAAACGCACGTCCTATATTCCAGTGCTAGCCATTATCCGTCTTTGTATATAATGTTCGTGAATTAAGGCTATATAGAAGCAATATGCACACTATATACATATGCCAATATGAGACTGATCAATTTAAGTCCTAAACATTAATGGGAAGATTCAAACAAACAATATCAAGTAAATTTTAACCAGAACAGTTATGAGTAGATGTAAAATAATAAACTAGATATTATGTAATTGAAATCAACTTACTTCTATTTTTAAAAATAAAATTATCAGATACAACAGTAATATTTGCTTGTTTCACTTCATTTGATCGTGGTTCCACTTTTAATTAGTTAAGAAAAAAATAATAAAAAAAAAACAATATTGACATGTATTTCATGATAATACTCATTAATAATAAACATAATTATTCAGTATTATGGAAATATTAGATATAATTCAAGTGAATGAATTACTGCAACTTGTACTGTTATAACTTATGGCTATGGGTCAATTAGAGAACAATGATTTATCGACCGGACCAATGATGCAATAAACTCGTACGAGCAGTTTAGAGTTTTTATCAATCCATCCTTCAGCCTAGTTCTGCCTGTTACAGTCCAGAACACAAATATCAGCCATTGTAATATGAATCATATATTTCAAACATATTGGGTTTATGTACAAACCAAACAGACTACATCGTACCATAAAATGGAAAATAACATTTGTACAAGATCTAGCCAAAGGTATCTGTGAATGTGAGAGACTGAGCATAACTTAAGAACAGTATGTCATATAATAATAATCTATGAGTCAAAATAAAGCTTATAATAAGAGGAACATGAATATGCATAGTTTACTTACTGAACAACTATACAATACAAATATATGTATAGTATTAGTTCAGAAATGGATTCCAATAGTTACCATTCATTATTCTCATCGTAGGATAATAGTACAGAAACATCTTTATCAAGATAAATCATACGATGTTATTATGATTTTTGTAAACTAGTGTAAATAAGTAAGATGTTATAATCAATCATACTTAATGGTAGTACATAATTAATGATTAATCAACATATTTATTAACAGTCAACATTATAGTCTAATTAGAAACAATGAAATGAATTCGGATTCACTGTTAAATGAATGTAACTAAATGTTTATACTAATTTCAGGTATAAATGATAAAATGATACTGTTAAGAATCTATTCAATAATACTATTATTAGTGAGATGTTATGCAGTCGTAGGGAGTCGATAAAAAAGCCCAGACTAACGCCTAAAGCTTCACAGCACTTGTTAGTAAAGCGCACCTGAAATGTTTTGACGAACTGATCCTCTCTGAAAGATCAGAAATAGAATCACTTAATCTCACATTCTATGACGTTATTTTGCAACTAGGGTCAAGGTTGACGGCCTGAAGAACTGAGATGTTTATAATTGGTTAATCATTGAGTATTGACAAGAATTTATGTAATCCCTTCAGTGCTCAATTAATCTCTTAAAATATTATAGCTCAGAAACAAAAGAATGTTTCAAGTAACACAGTAAAAAAATTTTTTGAAATACCGACCAGTTTTGTATTTTTTTTATTAATATATACAAATCTGAAGTACAATTATCATCGTGGCAAATTTCTTCCATTCTGAAAATGTTAGAGTCAATGATGTTACTGAGATTTTGAGTATAATATTGTACTATTGTAGTGAACAGAACACGGGTGGGGATAATCGAATGTATTCAACATAAAATTACAGAGCATCTCAATAAAATCTGAGAACCATATATTAAATCGTTAATTCGCAAAATGTCCACCAATTGTCTCAAAATGCCTCAGATTTTATTGTCCTTGCATTTCCATACAAATTGCATTCTATTCCCATTCTTGCTTTCTTGATCTTCCTCCATCTTCTGCTACCAGACATTACATTCCTGACTCACGCCATATACTACCTATATCAATATAAGTAGCATGCACCACACTATCAGCATTAATTTGTGACTGTTGATTATTCATAAGTCATACTACAAGGGATTTCATTTAACCATAGTTTTGAATAATAGAAACTGGATTTTTTCTAGGTTACGTGATGATAAAATGTCATACAAAAAATAGGAGGTTAATTAAAAGACCCAATATGTCATAGCGTTAATCTGCACTCATATTACTGCCAGTTCATAATATATATATGACAGTTTATTAAGGCTATTTATGATGTATATAAATTAAAGCAATGTGTAGGTAATTCGCATAGGATATGCATATGCTATTAAGATACTGATAAATTGCAGCCCTGAACATTATTCGGAAGATTTAAACAACCCATATAAAATTGAATTAAACTTCATTTCATTATGTAAGCTAATATCTATCTGAACTCAATAGCTAAGTAGATGATACGATGATATTGAAAGCGAACGGTACTAGGTTCAATTCCTGGGGTAAACATCAACTTTAAGATGAAAATACATCTAGCTGATGAATCCTAAAATAGAATGAATTAGACATCCTAGATTTCATTCATCACTGTTTATAACTGACAACAATAACAACATATCAAATGTAAAACATTTCATTAAACTGTTCACTTGAGTAATATTAAAACATACTTACCTACAGATATATAATAATCAGGATTATTCATTTGTTTAATAGCCAATGTTATATTCATATTCGTTTGATTTATTATCTTATCATTATTGTTTTGTACATTAGAATTATCCTTTATAATATTATCTTCTTTATGGATAGATTTTATAGTACAAGTATATAAACCACTATCAGTTAATTTAGCTTTAATTATTCGTAATATCCATTTATTTGATGATTTTTGTTTAATACTAATTCGTTTATCTGGAATAAATCTATGATTACCTATTGTAAGTGGATATTCTTCACCAATTTTATTCCACATTATCTAAGAATAATCATAATCAAGAAATGAAGGTAATGATATAATGGTGTTTAAAGAGGATGTGATATTCAAGATAAATGGTCTATAGGTTTATAATAGATTTACTCAACAAGTGTAAACAACTGTGTTCTTTTTTTTATGTATTTTAACACATAGATATTGGTACAAGGAGGCACCAAATACATATGCACCACACAAATCTCATTTGATATGTCTGAGGGCTGTGATGCTGTCCTGGTGACCAAACCGAAACAGGTGGCTCTCTTAAAGGGCCACACCCGGAGATTTCGAGGTATGTTCCACAAGGCAGCGGAGCATCGTAAGGAGATGCAGTCCCATGGTAGCCGGTGACTGGTTCATACGTCATTTGTTCCTTCAGGATACTGGAGCCCATGTGCACCACTGGTTTGGAATCAGGGTTTTCCAACTACCCTAGGTGAACTGTCCATGTCCACCAACCCGGTTAAAGCGCTGAAAGTTCGTTTTCCGTCCTCTCAATTCCGTAAATAACAGACCCGCCATGAGAAGGCAGTGAGTAGGATTTCCTTGGAAGAGGCTAGATACGCGTGGCCATGTGAGAGCATTTCGAAGAATGACAATTTAATGTATACAACTTTATATTGTCCCTCAATAGTTAATAAGATTTCTGATAATAATTAGTTTTATCTTTACATCTTAATAAATCAAGTTTCCGCAAACCGCTTATTTTAAATGTTAGATAGCACTTTTTTAAAGGAGTCTACTAATCTGTTTTTGTTTTCAGGTTCTTTTTTAAATCAATTGAAGTATTTTCACAGCTGAATTCACGAGTCGATTCAAGCTAGATCACTATTAGAAATCTGGAAACAATAGATGTCTATTTCGTCCTAGTATGAGACTCTTCTGCAGTGCCCATCCATGATCCCTTACAAAGGACTCTAACTCAAAGCTTTCGGTCACACGTGCAAACGTTCAAACTCAACCCATAAATTGGCATCAAACGGTGTTAATGTCTGACCTCAATCGACCTATGATCACGTACAACCCTCCATTCATTGTCTAAGGTGAATAAGTATCTCACATCTGACATGGATTGGATTTTACTGGTCAAGACTTCGCATTAGAACTCCAGGAGTTACATCTTGAAGCCAGTCACTTGTAGTCACATGATTATTGTCTGTATGGAATATGTGAAGATTGTAACGTTTTAAAAGATGAATTCATGAATCGATCTACTCTACAACACCATTGTAAACCTGAAAGTACTGGAAGTCCGTTTCATCCAAATATGGGATTCCTACTCTTTCTTTAAAGTTTTAAAGAACTTTAAAAATTATGAATTCACATCATTCTTAATTTATTTGTTTGTTAAATGTGCAAAAGCCTTAGAAGAATATGAAAATATGTGAACATGCTAATATTTTCCATGAATGTACTGATTTCATTAAAAGAAATGATCTCCCAAATGTTGTTGTTGCTGATGATGATGATGGTAAGCTCATTTTATAAATCAATCTTTCTTTTTCTTTCATTTACTTTGTTTTTCTTAGTGGAGCTGAAAATATGTAAATTTGTTATTTGCTCCCTAATATCTTTATAAAAGAATTACACCAGTTAAGATCAAATTAGTCATAACTTTATTTTACAATCGCTGTTCTTACTTGATTGAAACTTTTAAATGAGAATAGTTATGTGAAATTTAGTCTTATCGTTGAAGCGAAATCACTAATTAGCCGTTGACAAGTAAGAATCTATATATATTTGTATAGATGTAATCGACGTTTTACAGGTACAATGAACATCAACTGTTAATCTCATGATATTAGTTTTTTGAAGATTTCAACAGTTAACTTAGAAGGACAAATCTGCATTATATATATATCCATCTGAAAGCCTAGTTTCTAAGACACTCCGTGATATGAAATCTATTAAAGAGGTTTATTCTTTCAGAAATAACTTAAATCTTTAATCATTAATGGGTTGTCTACTTTATTGAACAGAAGTAGACGGAATATGGTTAATAATGTATGTGAGGTTTTGTCAGTAAAACTTGATTTTATCTTTTCTTGATGAAAGATTGATAGAACATGCTTTATCTGAACCGGACGGCATTGTGAAATGTGGACGAATAAAAATGATTTTCTTAATATTTAATATATAGAATTTTTTCAGAACCAAGATTTTTCCAACATATTCTGCCCTGGAGATTATAACTTTGCTTGAAGCCCTTCTAGATTTACTGTCGGTGTCGGAAATCTGAGAAGATCTAGGTATAGGATGGCGATCTCATCCCATAGAACGAAAATTTACAAAGAGACGCCAACAAGGAAAAAACTATTTTTTAACCTTTATAAACTCATATAATTTCCTATTGATTTGCCTCTTCACTGTCAAGTTGATCAAAGATATAACTGGGCGTATGCTAAATGCCAAATAGACCATTTCTAATATAAACATATAATTGGAAATACTGTCTTATATAATGTTTAATAACTATCTGTATAAATAATTTAGTTTTACATTCATAATAACTTACCACATGAGATCCTTCCGGTATGATACAACGCATTCGAATAGTTTCTCCAACAAAGTATTTAACAAATCGTAAATTTGTATTAGAATCCAGATTTACATCAACTTGTTGTTTACTTAAATTAGATAAGATTGTATTCACAGGTGAATATAATTCAGTAGATGGTTCATTTACTGGAAAATTAGTTTCGAAACTATCGTTGAGATGTTCTATTTCATTGTTTGAAAAATCGTTCAATGTCTCTTCAACATCTGTTAAAAAAAAGGCCAACAGATGAAAGTTCTTGTTGTATTTATTTGAAATAAACGAACATCCTTGATTACTGATTGGTAATCAATATCATACTGATTTTAGCCTTGGTGATAATAAAATGCTATTGATCACGTTATTCTGTGATCACTAATCTATGTGAGTTATAATTGAAGACTTCAGAGAGTTGGAGACAAATGATAAAGAACCATGAAACCTAGGTATTATGTTATGCATTAGTCTTCATTAAGGTAATTTTAGGAAAGGTTTGGAGCTGGAAGTCCATAGTTTCACAACAAGCGACATTAAAAATGAAAAGCTGATAATTAAACAATAACTAAACATCCTTCTAATTATCAAGGATAGAAGTATATGTGCGAACTAAAAATGTCTTATGTTGATTAATAATAATCATTAAATATTCTAGCAAAGTAAATGAAAACATTTATTAAGTGGAAAAATGGTGTAATTATAAATTGCCTTAGTGTTTAAACTATGACAAAGTACTGTTACTAAATCAAATGGTACAAAGTGGGAGGTTACATGTAGGATTATGTCAACTAGGTTCGATAGCTGGCTGGTTTGCTAGAAGAAAAAACCTATGTAGGCGAAGGAAAATTAGCAGAGTATTGGTGTCACATCAGTGCACGACAAAGTATGGGAAATAAATGAAGATTAAGTTCCCAAATTATTATATCAGACGGAGGTAGGATGCCGTGTCTCGCAATTAGATATCTTATTCGAACAATTGCATCTTTCTTAACACAGCGGGAAATCGTCTATTGATGATTCTGTATCTTAACCCTAAAATCATAATGAAATATTGTGTCGATCTCCCTTACCCAACATTTGGATAGCGGTTTATAGTAATCTTTCTGGCAATAATCCAAATTTAATGTGACTTGCAGACTAAGGGTCTAAAGAAATACGTAAGTTTTTATTAGCCAGAGGGTTTTTATATTTAGTAAAAAGAAGATTCAGTGTTAGGCACTTGGCAAAGTTTGCATAAATACATGAAACCCACAAGAATAGGAAGTTTGCATTCTATAGTACACTCTAAGTCATCGAACTTTAATACTGAAAGTATACATTACATACACATATGAATTATATGAGTTAAAAATCTATTTATTCCACACAATGGCATAAATGATGAAGTATTTGTTGTGTTTCGACATGAACTATCAACACCCATCTTATACTTTCTTCGTTTAAAGATGTCAACTTCTGGAAAATCGAGAACTTTTCAATTCAGTTGTTATAACATTTTTATGGTTTTAGCAAATATTGGGTTAGATTTTAAATGAAATCTTAAGAATAAAATTTCAACAGTCTTTGAAAATAATATGGAGCAGTTTTCCTTGATTTCCAGTCTTTTAAGTGTTGATATCAGTCAATTATCAAGATCATTTTTATTGGTATTTACTGACTGTATTTGTCATATATTGGTCTTGATTGAGGTATCATAGATAATTAAGAAGCATTGAATAGCCACCTTGCATAATCTGTCTAGATAACAACGTACTTGTGAAGTCAACTCTAGGATGCAGATACATATAGTTAACAAATCCAAAATGGTAAAAAATGTGCATCCATGATTTCACTGCTTGCCATGTTCCATATATTCTATATAAACTTTTGTCACAATGAATATAAATATAGGCAACCAGCATATTCCAATTTAGTGTAATCGAAATATTGTTAAAATATAATCAGAGAACTAATCCAAATAATTGAAAACCGAATTAACTTTGAAACATTTACTTCGGTATAAACACTATATACATCAGGTTTACATGCTTTTGTTGATAAACTAAAAGGAATTAATAAATTGCTTCACTATCACTGCTCGAAGCGTATCACTATAAGAGGCTGAAGGCCCTGGGTCCGAATCCCGCGAGCGGGATCGTGGATCCACGCTGCTGAGGAGTCCGACAATAGGACGAAACGGCCGTCCAGTGCTTCCAGGTTTTCAGTGGTGGTCTAACATCAATCGGTTCATGATACCAATCAAAAACTTAATAATCTCCACAACCCCTATGCTGATAAGATATCATGTTTAGTTGATCTCCAGAAAAATTAAAAATTAAATTCAACTAAGGTTTATGACAAATTCTGTAATAATATATCACTATACTTTACTCTGAACGGTTACATGGAGACATTTTATTCATTATGATAAGACATTCCCTTCGTGTTCAATTTTTCTGCCGTTCACAGAATCATCGTTATATCATCATATTTAACACACTTTTCCATTGCTTAATACTTCACAAACAAATGGAAGCTCTTAGATTATACATTTCAGGCTTTTAGTGCTAAACGTCGATTCTACGACTGTAATTGAAGTTTTACTGCAAAAAGACGATGCTAGTTTTATTAAATGAATATGCATATCATATATCATTATTATCATTAATTGTTATATAACTAATTCGTAAGATAGATAATACTAAATTTACGGAATGATAAAATGCATTTATTTTAGGCCTATTTTCATTACTGGTTACTAAAAATAGAAATTTTATTTACATAAGATTTCAACAAAATTCAGTGTATATTTGTTTGCCAGAAAACAATGATAAACATGATACGAATATTTTTAATTGATACGAGTGTTTATTAACAGCTGCCTACGCAAAATACATCGTACCCGTTGGCCAGACACTATCAGTAACAATCTACTATGGGAGAGAACAAATGAGATTCCAGTGGAGGAAGAAATCAGAAGGAAGAGCTGGAAGTGGATAGGACACACATTGCGGAGAGCATCTAACTGCATCACAAGGTAAGCCCTGACATGGAATCGTCACGGCCAAATGGGGATAAAAGGAAGACCAAAGAATACATTACGTCGAGAAATAGAGATGCTTCATTGAGAGTAACAGGAGTAAAGAAAAATTAGGCAAATTAATTATTTGAAAAATATTAGTTATAGCAAATCTTTTTAGGTGATTGAATTGTTTAATCTCAAAAGAACTTTTAATGATATTGTGTAATGAACAAGAACACAGATGGGATAGTGAATTGTACGTTATTTCCAAATTACAGAATATCTTGGTAAAATATGATAGCCGTACATTGAATACTTCATTTCTATCATTTATCCCTTACATTTTGTATAATTCTTCCTTATCTCAATTCTTTTCGATTCTATTCAACTTGACCTTGTCAGTCTTCTGCTTCCAGGGTGTTCATTTCCAATTGATGTTGCATACTACTTATATCTGTCGACATAAATAGTTTACATCACAATATAACAATGAAACTATATTATTTATAATATGTTAACATGGTTATATAATAAGGTAAGAACTTTGATCAAAAAACACTACTTAATATGTCAAACTATGTACTAGGACTACGTTTGAAGAGAAGCTTGATCAAATAATTTTTTTTGGTGTAATGTTTGATTGTAATGTAATATCATAAAAGACTTTATGAATTTAAGTGGGCTTTCTTATATGAAGTAATCTTCTGAATGATTCAATTGTCATGGAACGATCAATATTCTTACTAGTTTCCTAATTTTACCCAATGTAGAATGATGTTGTTTTGTTTCCCTTAACTATCTTTTCTTTTTTTTTTTCAACACACCATCGATATTTAAGACATTGGAATATAATAGTTAAGAAAATGTATCATAAATTATTATTCTGTAAAAAGAATACAGTTTAATAAGATGTATCCAATGCTTAGTAATTCATTTCATAATAGATAGTTACATAGTAATCAGTAGTCTTAAAATTTCCTTTCAAAATTATTAGTTTTCTTAATCTTTTTCTAAATAGATGATCTTTTTTGTTTAAAGGAATTTCTCTTAAGTACTTGAAATTTAGTTGTCATTATGAAATAATTTAGATCGTTGAAATAAATTCTTCTTATTTCCCTGGGATAAATAGGACTGTAAAATATCCAATTAGTAAATGCAATGATTATATAAGCTTCACTTGATGTGTTGTATTCATTAGATTCACTCAGCATACATGCTTGAAGGATGAAACAATGTACAGTAGGATAATAATCCTATAATTTATTTACTTATTTCAAATACGATATCAAAACAACAAGAAATACAGAGAGTCGGGAAAATAAGAATTAGATTTAAAAAATTCTTTTAAGTTTTCAATGTATTATTTTTTAAATGACTTCAAATGGTAGGTGTTTAACAGTGGGTGGTGATCTGTGTCATGTATGTCAGGTTCTTTTTAGTGCAGATGGAATTCTATAGACCAAGTTGTAATGTGGCCACCAGTCTCGGTGACTTGAAATTGCGCGCACTATGTTGGAATAAGATGGTGGTTAGAAGTAGTCAACAGGAAATCCTAGAACTAGGTTTCGAGCTATTTAGCACGTGTCAGCAAGGTGTACACGTAATCTTGAGGGAACTGATGCACAGTTGTAACATCTTTGATTGTGAAGCTAGGTGACACTGAATCAAATCCATCAGGGAGCATCAGTTCCCTCAAGATTACAGGTACACATTGCTGACGAGTGCCAAGTAGCACGAAACCCGGGTCCAGGGTTTCCTGTTGACTACCTTCAACCACCTTCTTAACTGTAACAGTTGAATCAAAAATGTGTTTAATAACTAATAGGTAAGTTAGGTTGATAGTAATCAGGATAAATAGCATTAGTCTGAGAATGAATAAACAATCATTTATCGATTTCACATTTATCAACAAAACATACTTAAGGTTGTACATATAAATATGTTTAACTTAATTAAGGTTTAAGATGCATTGTGGCTGGCACTGAGATGAAAAAACACGCCTTTTGTTCGATATGGAACTAGTCAGTTAAATGTGCCTGTGTTCCATAGTCGGCATTTGCGCCGGGATTCGAACCCACAATCTTTCAGTTGTCTACTGTGCTACTAAGCTCGACTAACCATTAGATGATTCATCGCTTATATTATTTATATTCTTATTAGAAACGATTTGAATTATTCTGTTGTTGATAGCCTTATATAAATTTTGATAAGTCTTTCTTAGGAATAAAT